TGTTTGTGGATATATTGTTAATTTATTGAGGAATACCTCGAACAGCGTTGCTTGTGTTTCTTGAGCCAGTTCTGTGATTGTGTTTACGATGTTGATACATTGGAGTTGGAAATACGAGGATTTTTCTGCATTTGCTGTTTTTCTAGCTTCGATGTAAGAAGTTGTTTAGAATGTTGTTTATTAATTTTGGGGACATTACCAACTCGAATAATTGATTGGAAACATTTTCGCATGAAATAACTAATGAATCTGGAGATGTAGGGACAAGTTGTGTGCTATAATGTGCCTCTGAAATGCACGAACTGCCTTCAAAATTGTAGTTGGTGTTGACTTGGAAGAGAATGTTAATTTGGTCTCCATGCTATGCTACGGTGAAGTCTGGTGCTTTCTTTTTGCTGGCACTTCGAGTCATGAGTCCCTGGCAGGTGATGTAGATGCATCTGTACATGAATGTGAAGATGTTAGTGTCGCTGTCTCCTCCATCTGAGGTATCACTTTTACTTGTTGATACTTTGTTTTGGGGTTGATATTTGGGTTGAAGTGACTTGACCCTCTGTGTTGAATGTGTAATGTTTGCCATATTATCCATGGTGGGTTTTGTTCCACAGGATGTATTTGTGCTCTCAGTAGTTTTTCTAGTGGTATCAGTATGAGGTCTGTTGCCAGTTGTAAGTAGTTGACTATTATCTTCACTACTAATACATTTTCCTTGAGCATTTGTATGTACAAGGTGGTTGGCCGGTATAGCAGCAGTTATGGTAGCACTTAATTCACTAGATTGATCCGGTTTTTCGGTTCGATATGTTTGTCATGCTCATGAACAGTGTGTTGTTTTGCCCAAGTATTTGTACGTAGCTTTGCAGGTTAATGGATCTTTCTCGTTTTGGATGTGGAGTTCCTTGTTTTTGTGTTCTGTTTTTCTCCAATTCAGGGGATGGTTGTCTGTTGCGTTTAAGGTTACTGCATATTTTTTGTGAGAGTGTTTGAGATTCGATTCTTCTCGCATTTGACCACTTGGGACATTCTTGTTCGACTGGGCTTACCTTCTCTACAGCTATATTAGCGGTTGGATTGTTCTAAGGTGTAATAGAAGAGTTGGAGTTGGAGTCTATTTCTACTATTTCTATATCTGGTGAAAGAGGAAATTTGATGTTATAATGTCCCACTAGTTGTGTTTGTTGATGGCAAATTCTTTTATCCAACTGTTATTATCAACTCAGCTTCTGATGTTAAGCCATATTCGATGGTTTCTAGGTGACTAAATTGCGCATCGTGCAGCCAGCAGGCGACTCAATCACATACTGGTCTGTAATGTTTACAATTGTTGTTTATATTGCAGCATGTGTAATTCATGACTGACATTTGTGTTTGCGCGATGGTATTTATATATTTGTTTTATTTGTTGCATGGGGACTGCGTACGGTTTGAATAGTGTTATCATGGGTCATATTGTTAGCCGTTGCGTTACTAATCCATTCCCTCCATCAAATGGGATATTTATATGAAAATTTAGGGAACAATATGTGGAGCGAAGGGTCGAAGGAGCTGTGGGGTAGTTGATTTTCCTTTCTTGTTTCTAGTTTACTACTATTCCTTTCTAAATTGATGGCCACACCTAGTCTGTTCTTTGACGTTAAAGCGGATAGCTTCCATTACGATTCTACCCTTCCTTTAATGCTCCATCATCAATGAAACTACCATTATTAATAGTAGGGGAGATTACACAGAATAAGTATTATTTCGAGTATGATAATGATAAGTAAACAATAACATCTACTTTATTTAATGCCACGTAAGTCTGTTGTATTAACTTTCCCACATTGACCACTATCAAAAAGTTGTTGAAGTAGGACGAATTAGGACGAACTACACAGCAAGCTTCTTGTGACATTCATCTCGACATGTGTGTCTTGGAGAAAGACATTAGCCACTGCTCTACATTGTCCTCATATTGACGGGGCATAGAAGAACGTGGCCTCATTCACGAGCTGGTAGAGGGGATGCCTGTTAACCGGAGTTTGAGCAAAGCATGTTCCAATTGCTGCAACTGGCTGTCCTGATTACAGCTTAAATGTGGTGGCGTATTCAAGCGGACCATCGAATTAAGGCGTGTTCACGCCATCATAACATCATGATCTGAATCTGCCCCTTAACAAGCTACGCAGAGTCACTGGCAAGTGTCGCCAACTGGAATGCAGCGATTTCAACTACTTTCACCGACATGGCTTGTAATAAGCATCCAGTGCCCGTAAATATTTTTTTCCAATTTTCACTAGTGTAGAAAGCTATAAATGGAGCCAGGTCTGGACAATATACACAAAACTAAACACCACAATTTCTGGTAAAGACAGAAGTAACATTTGTATCAAAGATGGTATTTTACTTGAGAAGACAGTTGTCATTATATCCGCAGCACTGCTTTGCTTAGGTTAAAGACATATTTGAAAATTTTATGCAGGTAATTTGTGTAGGTGGCGCATGTTCTAAACCACTATTTATTAGATATGATGACACCAAGTTTCCTTACTTACTCCTCTACTTTTCACATTAATGATAAATGACGTAAGTAATCATGTAAATGCAAATTGTTTCTTGTTTGCAGCTTATACTAATTTTACTAACGCAAAAAAAAAATATTTTCATGAATTATAAATCTTAAAAGTCAATATGTTGTCAAAGGTTGCACAGTGACATAGGTATTAAAAATAATCAATCTCAACATCAGTCAAGTTTGCTGGCTTGCACGGCCTGCGAATTTTTTTAACGAACCCCTATGAGAAAATACTGCCAACTTAGCGAGAATATTTGACCAATTGAGTCAGAAGAAGTCTGAAGTACCCAGCTCTTTATATTTTGCCCTGATGATGCAATGTCGTCCCAAACATAGGGATAAAATACAACAGTGACGCTATCTCGGTGTTTGACTTTTAAATTACCACAGTACTGAATGTGGCACGTCTTGTGGTCAACCGGGATAGGTTTGTAGCTACTCCTTCGTGTTGTCAGTTTTTTTCCTCGCGTATGCTGGTGGATGCAATATCATTATCGTTTATTATATTCCAGCTCTTGGCAGCCATCTAGTGAACTAGATTACTTTTATTTCTTTATTTTACAAAACCTTCAAGTTTCGCAACGAAACATTGCATTTTCCTCATCAATGCTCTTTTAACATTTTGACCACTTGGCAATTTGTCTCGTTAACAGCATTACATTTACTCGTTACTAAATGTAGGAAGAACGAAATAACTGTACTTAGCAGGCGTGAAAAAAAAACTCAAAACATTTGTTGAATGAGACAGTAGACCTGTTGGCTGTATTCACTACTTAGTGCAGAATATGTCCAGGAAATGAGTGCTGAACTTTTTCACGCCATTTACATTTGAATTCTTGGGGATAGGTTATATATATTTTTTAAAAATGTCTTCAGTCACTCAATTATAGCCAATTCGCCTCCCCACCCGCAGTACCAGCCACTGTCATGACGATAACTGCAGCTTGTATTTCTGCTTCACCTCCTTGTCCCCTTTCGAACTACCATTTAATCCGCCTCAGGTTTAATAGTTTGTGATATAAAATTTGATGACCACGACCTGAGCACTAAGGAAATTCGGTTCAGGGTCTTCTTCAGTCCATGGCTGTCAACCAAACTTAAATAGGAGAACATGGGAACTATATTTTTGCACCCCGCCGAAAAATAGCAACTCTAGTATGTCATTATTAGCGCCAAATTGAATGTAAATGTAAACATTAGTGAATTGCAATTTTTTTTATTGCTTTCTGTCCCAATTATGAAATTCTTATAATATGCTGTAAGTAATCGTGAACTGAATAATTTATAAATATTTACATTCATGTATTATTTTATTCTCCATTTTTCGGAAAGGCTTATATTAGTTGTATGAAATAGTAAGTATTTAAGCTAAATATTATTTTATGCCATACATTTCTAGTTTTTTAAACAGAATTTTACCGATAAATTATTTCCTCAGAAACCACTATAACTGAACTAATTGTCAGCTTATATAAGTATCGAAACAATCTTTATATTTGCAAAACATTTTGGTTTTTATATTTTGGTTAACTAGGATCGTCAAATATGTATGTGCTAAACACCTGTGATAGTTATGTAAACTAGAAGTTAAGTAATATTCAGAAGCACATAGCGTGCTTGGATTTTAGTCAAGGAACACACAGGATAACAAAATATATGTGCATTTTGATTCTGTAATTTATGTGCTCTTCTAATAAATGTAAACACTACTCGGAGTGCATTTATTGCTTTTCCCTATGCAGCATGGAAGTATGCGCCGAACCTGTGCTGCAATACATGAGGTGTACGTTTCGCTGGTCATTTTCTAAGGAACAATGAAGTGGAAATTCTATTTGTATGCATTCACGAGTGATGTACAGTTTAACTTTTATTTGCTGCCAGTTGATATAACATTTTTGTCCTATATCACCAAGAGTTTTTCGCACGTGCGTAATTTTTGAATGGGCTGTAAGTTCGTAATTTGGTGCATTAAGAGGACAAGTTGTTGCAAGCAATAGTGCAATATCTTATTCCATGATTCATAATCTCAGTGCTAGAATTTTTCTCTGTCAATACTATTCTTCAGTTAGACCTACTAGAGGTCCTGAAATGCAGAAGTTTGCTGCTATCTACTGAGCTAGAATCTCGACTGTTCAAGTGCGCCACTCGTTGAAATTTACTCTCTTTGATTAAATATGTTTCTATATTTCCAGAAATCAAAGCGCTTATTATTACTTGGAGAATCAGGAATTGGTAATGTAATCAGCCGATAGAAACTATCATAGTACTTTAACTTTAGATTCTATAACTTTTATCTTTTACAAAAGAGTTTACGGAATTTTACCGATTCCATCAAGATATTTATAACTCCATTGCTTAGAGAATAATTTCATGGGCATTGATGAATTAAGTCTCTCTAAAAGGTCACATTAACGTATCTAATTTCTGACATTCTACCTGCATGCAGCGAGGCCTGTTGGTCAAGGATTATGTTTCTCGCATAGGGTGCGAGAGGTTCCGGGTTGAAATCCTGGACAGGCCCATGTTATTTTTGTTTTAACTCCTACACTATCGTGTGGGACTCGCAATATAACTGTGCGAATGGGAAAATATTACGCTGGTGATCAAATAAAAAAGTGTTTATTTAAACGTCCTCTGAAACACGTGTCATGTAACGGGTAAAGTGAGCTTACTCGTTGGTTTCGTTTGAGTTCTCGATGCAACATGTTTGTTTACGAAAGGTTGTTTGTAATGTGATGCGTACCGAAAATAACAAACTGAAGACTCCAATAAACCCCTAAATGCACACTGAACAATGAAATACAACGTAATGAGTTTGTTTTTGTACTGCCAAGCACTGTTCAGCAGGTTTTAAACAATGGCTGCATTACTAAATTTCTTCACGTGATTGGAGTATATTTGTGGGTAGACAAGTCTGATCACGTTATTATTTTTGGACAATTATAAGTTTGGGGATTTTCGAATGCGGGATGTGATACTAAAAAATAAAACAATATTCAAAAATTATTGCACACGTAACGATTGGTATTTATTAAAAGACGAAATGAATTATTACATATGTAAATAGTTGTTATTCATCAAATAAGAAATTCATTTGATACAATTAATTGTTATATTTAAAAAATTGGATATTGACTAAAGGTGTTCTCTGTTGCTTTTTATAAAATGGCTGTGTTTGTAACATAAGACAAAGTTATTTCTTCAGTTTGAGACAAGTGTCTCCATGCCCACCTTTGACTGTCCGCTCAACATTCCGTTTGACTACGAGGCATCGACAAAAATACTGTGATCTACGACCCGACAGGAAATACGTACTTAAACATGAAATAGATTATTAAATGTTTAAACTGCATCCCTACCCTCAAATGTAACACCAACCTGTACTTTCTGGATGATCTGCTGTACTTACCCATGTTGCGACAAGGGACTTTACGACTGTCAACATTTCACTCCACGATGCAACAATTCCTCTGGCCGCAAGCAGTGCCAAGGATATACTGGCGAGCTCGCGGACGTTGCAGCTTCGAGCGGCAGCCGTGCGACGCAGTGGCGCCACTGGCGAAGTCTTCACCGGATGTTAGACCACGTATAGGAGGTTGGCACCAGCCAAGACGAGTATCGAATGTTCTTTGGGGCCGTTATTGGCCAGATTCAAATTATTGGTGTCGTGGAGTAGGGGTAACTGCCCGATCCTAGAGTATAAAATATTGGGAGGTAGTCGGTAGCACCAGAGACCGACTTTCCACCTGGAATTCTCCGCAAGTTAAGTAATTTCAGATAATGTAACATTGACCCTGCAGGTCTGAAAACAGGCAAGATGGTGGCTATGTCCGTCCATAAATTTAGGGTATTTCTTAATTTATTTAAAGAAAAAATTTCTTAGTAATTGGCATTTAAAATTTTTGTACAAGTTTTTAATGCGCTAAAGTAACAGCCATTTTGTGATCAACCATGATTTATTGAAAATTCAAAAGATTGGTTCAGTAACTAAGCAATTTTTTTAAATAAATCTAAACAATTTTGGATGACTGTTTTAATGCTGAAATGCAGCAATGATTTTAAAAGATGTAGTGCATTTTGCTAATAAAATAATAGGAAGGTTTAGAAAATAAAATGAGTCTGAATACATTTTCAAGAAAGGCATATAAATGGTGGAACACTCGTTTAGAAAATCCACTTTTGAGTGAAATCTATAATGGTTATAAAAATCGAAATGTCTACATCTTTGTAGCTGAAACCTTTTATGAAAAACTAATTAGGAGTGATAGAACTTTCATGAGAAAATTGACATTCTTAGTAAATGTGATTAGCCTGATAGTTTGATCACATATAAAATTTATAATATGTGTTTACTACTATTTATATTTTGGGTGATTTCTTATCCCATTAACTTTGGAATGTTTATAGCAGTTAATATATCTACTTTTCTCAATATTGTAATTTATAAAATATGAAATACTTCATTTAAGTCAATTTGTTAGCCCAAAATAATACGAATATGCGTTAATATTTCAACACCCCGAATTGTTGTATTTTCTCCTGGCTATCATTCAAATGAATCAATTTGTATTTTATACTAAGTAAAGTATGAAATGTTATGAGAGAATTCATGAGTGTTTTTGCCAGAAATCCTTACACTACGTGGATGTCTTATACATTTGTTTTTGAAATATTTTGTTAACTTGCATTGCTGGGCTGTGTATAAGCCCCTGCCTCGGCCATTGAGAAGGGCGTCACAAGTTCTAGAATGGGTATTATGAGTTGGTTATTCCTCCTTCCCTGTGAAAATATAATGATAAATCGTACCACTTCCATCCCGTCTTTAAAACCAACTTTCACTCTGAGAGCAGTCATCTCAAAACCTGTTGAAATTAGTGTCCTTAAGATAAGCAGACATTTTGAGATTTTTCTAACTTTTCGTTAGTTTTGTATTAGTTTTGCTTTCTGAATTTTCCAAACGGAATGAACTCACTTATACGTATGTAAGTATTTTAACAGCAGTGTCTTAACATAGGCACACATCAAATGATCACTGTGTTATGAGGTAAAACACACTTATATTTTCAACAAACCTTAACATACAGGATATTCTGGTTTCCTGAATATAAGGAAATATGTCCAGTTCAGTTGGCACACCAAAAATATTTATATTTCCACACCTTATTTACATCCCTTATACTGAGTTTTCAAATCTTATTGCCGGAAAAGTGTGCCATTTCAATATACGTCACAACTATTTCTATTATTGTGTCACTGCTAGTGAGCTTGTTTTTAAACAATCCTAAAATACAATTTTCCGTTTTTAAGTCATTAATACTATTGCGAGTGTTATTATTAAAAGTCTTGTTACATTTATATAATTTTTGCGGTATATAATACCTTCTCTCTCTCTCTCTCTCTCTCTCTCTCTCTCTCTCTCTCTCTCTCTCTCTCTCTCTCTCTCTCTCTCTCTCTCTCTCTCCCCCCGAACAATCTAAGATTTATTTAATTAAACATTGAATTCTTTTGGTCTGATATTTATTTATCATGTTTTGTTTTGATAAATATTTTATTTATTTTGGGATTTTATTTATATGGCTATATAAATGAAGTTATTTGACAATTTCAGTCCATGTAATCAGTGTTTGTCACTATTTTATTCGATTGAATATTTTTATTGTAAGTTTTATTTCAATTTAGTTTCAGATGTTAATCTTGTTAAAAGCCCACAGACCCGTGTTTCTTGCGATTGTTGCCCATATAACCAGATGTGCAATGCTGTGTTGGGAATTATTTCTGTTGCCATCTGTAGCCTGCGTTACTATCTATTTTCTTGGCGTACCCATGCCGCTTGGCATATGATCCCACATAAACAACTGTCTTTCTTAACGGGTGTTTTGTCTTCCACACTGCACTTTTCGCCTCGTGTGGACAGCCCACGGAAACTACTGGCGATTCTGCATCTATCTGTTGGTCTTTTATTTCCTACTTTGGCATCCTTCACATAGGAATTTTAAAAAACACTTTTGTCCTTGGCGTGCTACCGGCATGATGTGTTTATGGTGTGCTGTGATCTCGCTCATTATCTTTTCGCTTTCGCAGGGTTCGAAGCATTAAGTAAATCAATACAAACTTAGACACGTTTGGAGGTGAAGCAAGGTTTTAAATTGTAGCTACCCTCAATGGGTATTTCTAAAATTCTTGTCTTATTGTATATGTAGAGAAAAATTCAGTAACGGCAAAATATTTTACATTTTAACATAGAATGGTAATATTTTCATTTTGGTTTTTCTAAGCATATTTGAGGTGAAGTGTGTTTTGTGTAAAAGGTAGGATTTTAGTTAATTTTTAATGTTAATATGTAATAACAAAAAAATAATATTTTTTTAGGAAAATTTTATAACGATATACTTTAATTAAATACATATATAAGATAGTTTGTGAAATTGTAAATGTGAAAACGAGTGATTGTGTATAGTCTTCCCCAGGTAAAGCAGCCAGATCTGTCTTTTCGAGTCACAGAGAGCAGTTTCTAACCTTCCAGAGTTGAAGACAGGTTGGCTGGCGGATGGAGGTTTGAGTGAGGATTGGCTAGTCCTTTGTGGTCGAACGACTTGCGGTAACTTGTTATAGGAGATATCGCACCACATGAGAATGAAATAGGATTTGGAAAAGCATATCGTTTGACTGCTCGATCTGTAGTGCATTTGATAATTACAACATAGTAGGCATGTAAGGTAAACACAAAGTTGGTTGGAAGTAGGGAATGCTTCGGGTAAGATGTGTAATTGCGGTAAAATTATTCTTGATGTTTGTTCATTCCATAAATACTGCTAATGTGTATTTATTCATTATGCGTGTAAAATTTAAGTATGCTTGATGGGTTATGAAGCAAGGAGTATCGCCTCAAACCTTCAGTCGCCTTCCAGCTACGTTAGTTGTGATTCGACAGCTAACAGGTACTTAGTTTCATATCATTATGCAAATAATAGTTGCATATAATTAATCGCTATGCAAATTCTCTCGATAATATATTTATTACGAGAAAAATCCAATTACCCTCAAGAGTCTTTGCTTAATGTTGTACAAATGAGTAACACCACTTGTGGTGCGTGAACCAAAGACATTTCGATTCACATTTATAGTAGGAATTTATAATTTATATTTTCGCATTATAAATAATTATAAAAATAATTATAAAATTTTTGCAATATGTTTGAAACCAAACAGCCATGGTTCATGTGACTATTCCTGGATTAGTCAGCACAACACAAAAATATATGTATATATATATATATATATATATATATATATATATATATATATATATACACACATGTGTTCCAATGACAAAACATTAAAAAAATGCTGAACACATGATTCGTAGAATTTAAAACACAAGTGAAATCGAGGATTTAGTTCTAAAAAAGAAATTATGGTAGGGGAACATCGTCAGATATTGTTAAAATAAACTTTAATTGGCTAGAGACATGTCTGCATGTCCTCCCAACAAGCCAGCGGATTGAGAGAGAGGGAGAGAGA